CATTTTGAAGTTCATGCCAATGTAAACTTTCGCAATTTAATAGCTTTACAGAGAAGCTTTAGAGCTTTTACACTCTTCGAAAAGCAATAAAAAGCACAAAGCACAATTTATTTAGCCTAGGAATGCCATTTAGTTAATAAAAGTGAACGAAAATTGGTATTAAGTGCTCGTAACGGAAATTATTTTCCCTACAAATTTACAATTCTGTGCCTAATGAAAACACCTTTTAATAAAATTTGAATATTTCACACATTTTCTCTTGATATGCGGTAATCGACTTCTGTTGCAACCAATTCCCAACAATCGTAATTAAGACAAGTAAAACACTAATAAAACAAACGATTAAAACATGCTAACGAAATATGAATGCATTCAACTGTATACTTATGTATATGCAATACTTACACATGAATTATGTGCTGAGCAAATGCGAATTTAAAATAAAAGTGAGAAGTATATTTTCAGATTACTAAAATATTTGCATTGTGCATAAAGTTAGGAAAGCAACATACATACATACATAACTGCTAATCAAAATATTTATAACTTAATTTCTGGTTAATGCAACACTAAGAGGCGCTACAACAGCACTGGAGCATGACTTACACGAATTGCGTGGCTCTAATCAATTATCACACACGGAGTTGGCGGGAAAGCAAAGAGAGGTTGGCAGAGGGTGTTGGACAAAAAAAGATGTTTGGGAAAATAAAAAGATTGGTAGTGAAAGAGCGCATGAAAAATAGGCAATGACGATATATCTTAAGGGTCTCCTCACCAGTTTTTTATCCACTACAATTGATTAATTTCGAATTATTCAAGACTTTGTATTTGAGAGCGGTTATATATATATATATGTATAACAAATATGTTAATTCAATCAAAAACCTCAAACTTAAGAATCTAGGCAAAGAATACACGAAATTCCTTGGCATTACCTTTTTTCCAGCGAAATCATTTTGGTTAAACGCTTACGAAATATATATCCTCTTAAACCGTTAAAAGGTGACAAAAGTCACAAGTTGAAAGAAATATCATTTGTAAACAACTGAGAAAAATAAAACAAAAAACTTAGCACAGCTACATACTTACATATATATAAATATTTGTCAAAAGAGTCACTTGAGAAATAACTAAGGAAATGAAAAATCACGGTATTATCAGAAATTTATAACGAACAGCCAACAACAAAAGGCAGCAGCAAATCTTGCACAACAGCATGAAGAAATGTAAAAAAGCACAAACGTGAGGAGTTACACTAAAGCGCGCTGTTAACAAATGTAAAACAAATCGTTAATCATGTTCAACAAACAATGAAGCACAAAGAGAACATACATATGTAAGCCAAACACTCCGGTCATAGACACTACATAATTTCCCCCTTTCATGCTTCATATGAAGCTGGAACAAGTTTTCTTCTGCCGCTCAACCTACACGCACGCACCTATGTACATACACACATGCACGCTGGACACCCTTCATTTAAAACATTCACTTCAGTATTATCTACTTCCCATTCTTTGACTGATGTCTGTTTGTTTGGCTTTAATTTGCCTCATTAAACATGTAAAAGGCGCCCAAACGGTCTCAAGCAACAGTTTATCAAGTTCTCAGTTACAGTTTAACGTATAGATTTCACTGTACATTAGGGTTGTCCAAAATGCGTACCGGCAGGGGGGAGTTTCAAATGTTAAGCTCTCACCACCAAGGAATTTTCTAAATGACCAAAAAAAAATACGGCATTTTTTTGTAAAAAAAAATATATATTTAGAACCGCCTCAAAGCCAATGAAGTTTTCCATGCATTTTATGTAAATGGGGAAAAACACTTCTTCCTAGAAATGGTATAGAATTCTTCCCTTTAGGAAACATTTTTTTAACGCTAACTATTATTTATACATAGGTCCCCCAAAAACCCCAAAACATGCAATGGGGCCGTGCCATAGAAATCATTTTTATAAAAAATGGTAAAATAAACAATTGCCATTTCTACGTAAAAGGTTTTTTT